CTGTGAAAATCAAACAAATGTCACCTTTGTCACTGACTGCACTAAACTGGCCAGCCTACATATATCTTATGGCTATTTTAAAATCAGTGTAGCAAGGCTTAAAGTAAAAAACAAGTCAGGAGTTTTCTAGCAGCAACTTAAGGTAGAGATTCTGCTTTTTTCAGCTAATAATGTACGAGGCTGAGCCTGTGAATGTTCTACATTGTTTCTAGTATTATTATTAATGGACAGCCTACTAAATCAAATAATGTCTGGCGTAGCCTAGCTCATGTGAATAAAATAAAAGCAGCACTAAGAAAATTAAAAGAAATAAATTGGCTTTATAGAAACTTAGATGATGATTCAATTGACGAATCGTCTAAAATGTTATACAAGTAGTGAGCAATACTACTTGTAAAATGCTTGAAAAAGCAAATGATCAAGATTTAGAAGGCCTTTCGGCATATACGATTAGAAATCTTGATAGTAAAATTGCAACAGGTTCCAATATCAGTCATAATAAATTAATGAATGTAAAAGAAGCGCCTATTGACAATAGGCAAGAGCATCTTGATTTGTTATGCTTTCCTACTTTATTTCCAACTGGACAATTTGGAGGGCATCATCCCAGACAAAGCTATCCAGCACAGACTTTATCATTTAGTGAATACATAAAATCCAGAACTTTAAACAAAAATTCCCGAATTTGTAGAAATCATTCATATTGTTTGCACTATTATGCATAAAAATTAATGAGGCCTTAAAAACTGGCATATATAATTTATTTAAAAAATCAAGGGGCAAAGTAGGTCAAACTGTTGCTGAAGTATTAAAAACAATAAATGTGTTTGATGAAGAATTTGAGGGCAATTAAAGTACCATGTTGGCTCCAATACGTGGCACAAATCAATATTGGTTCCGTGTGAAAGGTAAAGTCAAAGCAATGATTGCTAAGTATGGCTCACCAACACTTTTCCTAACATTTAGTTATGCTGAATACGATTCAGCTGATATAGCACAATATTTATGAAAAGTGAATAATGCGCCCAATCATACAGTATTTCTAGATTATGTACTGAGGACCCTGTTTCAGCATCGCGACAATTTTCATACAAATTTAAGGATTTCCTTAACATAGTCATTCTCCAGAGAGGTGTTCTAGGCAAACTAGAGCAATATTATGTTAAAAAAGAATATCAAATGTGTGGAGCGCCACATTATCACATCCTCCTATGGATCAAAAATGCTCCTGTTGTCGATATTGATCATCAAGAAGAAGTCTGTTCTTTCATACAAGATAGAATTATCTGTCATATACCAGATAGTAATACGTCACCTGGTTTAATTTTTTTGGTAACAAAATACCAAATGCACAAGTGCAGCAAATACTGCAAACGAAATATTAAAGTCGGCAAGACCTATATATCTTGATGCCGATTTGATTTTCCTAGACCAGTGCCAGATAGTATTTGCATCAATGATGTTGAAAATAGCTTAAAATAAGGCAATAAAATATATTATCTCAAACAAAAGGAAAAAGAAGTTCGAGTCAACGACTACAATCCTTTACTGTTGAAATTGTGGCGTGCAAATATGGACTTGCAATACACAGCTGAGAGGAGTCTTTCCTTAACAGAGTATGTAACTGGATATGTCACTAAAGCAGAAATGAGTCACGCACAGGACTTATGGGATGAAGTCAGCAGCTTTGACAACATATATAGCAGGCTTTGGAAAAACGGACAAAAATTACTTCGAGCTAAAGAAGTAGGACTATATGAAGCTAGCGATCTACTTCTCGGTGAAAGTTTATACATAAAATCAGTAACAGTACAGTATGTTAATGTGTACTTGCCTCATTAGAGGAGTGGAAAAATCTAAAACTATTCATATTTAACTAAAATGCATCGATCTTCTAAAGACATTTTTAATCCTAGCATAATTGAAGACTTTTATCCAACAAGACCATATAACATGGAAGATGTATCTCTATGAATTTGTTGCTAATTACAAATTTGATAAAATAGGTGAAAATGGAGGAAAAGAATACAAACTTCGATCAAAGCCAGTCCTTCCAAACCATAGGAAATTTAATCCGATGCAAGAAGCGGAAAGAGACGATTTTTATTACTTGCTAATATTTTTATTTGTGCCTTTGAGAGACAAGAGTACACTCGTAATGGAAGGAGAAACAATGGAAGAAGCTTTTAGGCGTCACAGAGAAGCATCTATATGTGGCATTGTGAATCGTTTCAACAAACTACAAAAAATTATTAGAAGCTGAACGTAATTGGAAGAAAATAGTCGATGCAAGAAATAAAGCCGGTTTTACTGAAGAAGAACTTCCTGATAACAAGGAAGATGATGAGCCTCAATTACTAGGTGAAATAATGGAAGCAGTAGCTGATATTGCTGACATGCATATAAATGTACCTAATTTAACATTAGAGCAAAGAGAGGCAATGCTTAATGTAGATCAAAAAAAAATTTTTGATAAAATTAAGAGTCATCTTATGAGTGAAAAAGAACGTGAAGACTTATTAGAGACTGAGTCTTCAAGACTACTTAAATTAGATAATATCAAACTGCTGAGAATGTTTAGTAGTGGTGTAGGAGGAACTTGTAAATTGTTTTTAATAGAGGCAATAAAATGCCTAGTGGATAACATATGGCATCCAAAAAGTGGCAAAATTATGTGTGCTATAGTAGCACCAACAGGTATAGCCGCATTTAATGTAGGTGGACTAACGATACAGACATTATTTTAGCTACCAATAGAGCATGAGGGAAAGACAGCTGGATATTGGGCTTTCAGTAAAGAAGCTCAGAAAAGGATAAAAATGACACTTAAAAATTTAAAAATTATAATAGTAGACAAGGTATCTATGGTATCCAATCTAAATCTAGCATACTTACACATGCACTTAGAAGATATATTTGGAACTGATGAATGGTTTGGATCCAAAAAAATTTTATTTGTAGGTGACTTCTTACAATTGCCAGAAGTTAATGGTAGACCAGTATTTAAAAAAATTAGCAACAAACTAGTAAAAACTAGACTTGGAGTAGCAAATGCAGTTAACATATAGAAAGAAACAGTAGAATATGATGAACTAACAATCAACGAGCGACAAAAAGGAGACGAAACTTTCTTTAAGATGCTTGATTCTGTTAGGCATTACAGTCTGACTGATGAAACTATTGATATGCTTAAGAGTCGCGTATTTAAGGTTTCAATACAAGAAGAATGGAAGGAATTGGAAAGTGAAGGAACAAATCCTCCAATTTGCCTATTTTCTAGGATTGACGCCTGCCAAAAAATCAATGAATTAATGTTAGAAAGTCTAGAAACTGAGAAAATAGAATTAGCATGCGTTGATGTTGTTGATGAAAGTGGCAGCACAGCAAAATTTGACAAAAAACAAGAAAAGAAATTAGAGAAACTAAAAGATCAACTACGCAATACAGATGGTTTAGAAACTGTATTGTATTTAGCAGAAGGCTGTAGAGTAATGCTAAGACATAAAATTGATGTGAATATAGGATTAGTTAATGGTGCCATTGGTACAGTAATGGGCATTTATGCTACACGTATATCAATCAAATTTGATCATATTGATGTACCTTGTGACATAGAAAGGGTTACATCTAGATTTATGCTATCTAAGAATTTGTATATACATAGGAAACAGTTTCCCCTTATACTTTCTTATGCTACTACTATACATAAATGTCAGGGCCTCTCACTAGATACAGCCATTATTGATTAATCTACTAATGTTTTTGGGGATGGTATGGCATATGTTGCATTGTCTCGTGTACGCACATTAAATGGATTACATTTATTATCATTTGATCATCTCTCTCTTAAAGTTAGTAATCTGTGCATTAATGAAATTAACTGGCTGAGAAGTAAATTTCGAAAAGACTTACCTAAAATCAAGAAAAGTAAAGGAAAGAAGAGAAAGATTCAAGTGACTGGTATAATTGATTATGGTGAACCTTGTAGTAAGAATGCCAAGGTGTCTGTAAGTCATGTACAAAGTACTAGTAAGAGTGCCATTAGTATCAAGAAACGTAAGAGTACTGACTTACAAAAATCTAATCGCCCCAAAACAGTAAAATATGTGATGATAATGCTTTAAATAAGCCTTGCCCCCAAAAAAGAAAAGTTGATGTAGACAGTAGTACTGACAATACTGCTTTGGTATTGCCTTGCTCAAAAAAAGATAATAAATAAATTGTTTTAATTAATTTGAAATACCTATAAACCAAATTTAATGTCAAAGTTGAGGATAGTTGTAGTAGTCTCATTGTATCTATAAAACTCTCAAACATTAAATGTAAACCAAAAGATGGAAAAACCAAGTGTGTTGTAAAAAATTACTACTGTAGTCAGTGGCGGATCTGGGCCTGGCCTAGACGGGCCATGGCCCGGGCATCAGAAGTCAGTAATGAGATTCATTAGATGCAATGTAAACAATTCCCTGCCTCAAGTTTTGATAAAGCCAACCAAAAGCCACACCAGAGTACTTACAAGTGCTTCAAGAGCATTCTAAGCACTGCATAGATGAGGAAATTGTTGAAACCCATCATAAAAATGGCCAAAAGATGCATAACCATAAAATAACTGGTTGAAAGTGGACACACCCACTTCCTAGCCCTACCATTAACTTGTACCCAGATCCGCCACTGATTGTAGTAGTGGTCTGATTGTATCTATAAAACTCTCAAGCATTAAATTAAAGACAAGTAATCCAAAAAAAATGATGATGTCATCAGAGGCGGATCATGGGGGGGCCGAGTGGGCAAAGCCCACCCAAATATTTTGCCCACCTCAATAAAGTATTATTGAGTAAAAGGCCCACCCAAATTAATGATTGTGGTCATTATATTAACTGTCCCACCCTTAAACTGTGACCACTGACCACATGTACAACACTGGTTGTATAATAATTATTGTAGTGACTAATAGTGAGCAACTTAGAATTACAGGTGTAGTTTACTATTAATGGTAAAATATGTCCAGGAAAAAACAGCTTACTCTGTTTCAGTGCAGTGCAAGTAGACCTAAAGATAATTAAGACACTCAAGATAGCATTGATTGAATAAATAAATGTAATTGATATAAACTATAGGTACTGACAAAGATCAGAGCTCTGCTGTCACTGTGGAACCCAGTGAAACTGAGTCCCAGACAGATCTAGCAACCCATACTCAATCTAGTCCCAGAGAGACTGAGCCTGACCCCATGGCAGTAGTAACAGAGTCTGAGCCAAATGAGCCAATAGATATGGAGCCTGAGTTTGGTAGCAACAACAATGAGGGTTGTTCAAGTAGACATGTGGCTAATAGTCCCCCTCGTGACATAGCAAAAGGTTTAGAAGACAAGCCAGTACAGCCACATAATATAACTTTTTCCAAGAATAAGGAAAATGGTCGTTCATTTAGTTCAATGTGGTATTGAAAGCATGCATGGTTAGAATACTCACTATCTAAAAATGCTGCCTATTGCTACCCATGCCGTTTCTTTTCTGCTGGTATTCACAAGTCTGATGAGTGCTTCATTAGTATTGGATATAGAAATTGGAAGAATGCCACAGGACGAACTGGTCGATTGGTAAAGAACTCACTGTCACAAAGGCATCTTAATGCTGCTGCTGCTTGGGCTGATTTTGAGAATAATCAGCAGTCTCAACGCTCCATCAGATCAACACTAAGTCAGGCACGGAAGGATCAAATCCAGAATAACAGGCATTATTTGATGACTATAGTTCAAATTTTACTATATTGTGCCTTTCAAAAAATAACACTGAGAGGACACAGGGAAGGAGAAGATTCACAAAATAGAGGTAACTTCTTGGAATTGATTGATTTAGTCAGTAGACATGATTCAGTAGTAAAAAATAAAATTCATGATGCACCAAAAAATGCAATTTATACATCACATGGTATCCAGAATGAGTTACTTGCACTACTGGCTAAAAAAAAGCTACACAAAATCTGCCAAGCTGTAAAGGAAGCCGGTTTCTACAGTATAATAGTAGATGAATCCCGAGATTCATCCAAGCAGGAACAGATGTCTCTAGCAGTTCGTTATGTTGATATTGAAGAAGGATGTGTCCATGAGCATTTCATAGCATTCATGCAAGCAGAGCATCAAGATGCTGAAAGCTTATCTTCTTACATAAAACAGGCTCTCATTACTTATGATTTTGATATGAATAAGATGGTTAGCCAAGGATATGATGGGGCTAGCGTAATGAATGACCACTGTTCAGGAGTACAGACAAGAGTCCGTGAGTTTGCTCCTTTAGCAGTTTACATTCACTGCTACACCCATGTGTTAAACCTTGTACTGGTTGATTCTGTAAGGTCTGTAGCAACAGCTTCTGAGTTCTTTGTTTTGTTAGAAGCACTCTACGTCTTAGTGTCTTCTTCTAAAATCCATGCCCTATTTGTCAAATACAACGTCAGTGTAACCCAAATCAGCAACCATTGGAGTTACAAAAACTCTCAGAGACTCGTTGGGTTTGCAGATACACTGCTGTTAACGCAGTCAGTCGTACATACAATGCACTTCTTCTTACCTTAGGTGTAGTAGCTGATGCATCTGTCAGTGAATACACCCAGGCTATTGAAGCTAGAGGTCTATATGATCAAATCAAATCATTTTCCTTTATCATTAGCCTGATTACATTTGATCGAATACTATCATGTACTACGCCGCTTTCTGATCAGCTACAAAGCAATAACATAGATCTTTCTCGTGCTGCTAACCTTGTATCTGGTACACAGGCTTTGCTGTCAGAATATCGAACAGATACCTATTGGGAGAAAGTGTATCATTATGCAACAGAAGTTGCCAAATTGCATGATGTAAACACTGAAGTGCAAGTAAGAAGGAGAAGGAGACCTACTCACTTGATCGACAGCTTTGTATATGAGAGTACTGGGGGGAGGGTGATTCCATCTACCAGAGATGAGTATAAGAGAGAGCTATACTCTCCTGTACTAGACAAGTTCCTTTTTGAGCTGGTCGTAGGTTTCAAGATCAAAATGTCACTATTATGAGAGGAATAGCTTCATGTACTCCAGCAGTATCAAATTTTTTATCATTACAAGACCTCAAGTCCTTCTCAGAGATGTATAACATTCCCACAGAACCAAATCTGGAGATTGAAGTTAGACTGATAAAGACTCTGCCCAAAGGCACGATTGGAGATAGTCTAGCATCATTTAGAAACTACCAATATTCTTGCAAACCTGCATACCACACCCTGCATGATTTAGCACAAAGAGCTTTAAGGGCACAGTCTCAATGTCAGAGTTTTGATTTAAAATATTGCAATTTCAAAGATCTTAAAGCATTATTATTTATTCTTGAATATTAGTTTTACCTAAGATTATCCTAACCATTTCATTAGGTCATAAAGTAAAATGCCGTCAAGATTTCAAAAGTCTACTTCTACTTCATTTGCAATAAATTTGCAACTCTGTTAATTCTTTTTGATTCATAAATTTATTTTTTTTTAATTCACAGACTATTTTAGTGCGCAATGATACAATCATTTCATAATATGGAATTAAATTAATGCTTAGTTTACAATGCGAAAATTTTTAATTAAATTTGTTTATATCAAAACTACTCTGTGTTTCTTTTGGTGAGATAATTTCAGTTGCGAAATAAATAATTATCATTAGTTCCATTTTAGTAAGGTTTTTAAGGTACAACGGGCTGAACGCACAATTTAGTTTTCGGAACACAAATTGTTTCCTTTATACTTTTTCTGCAACATATAATTTTTTCAATTTTTTTCTCAATAGTGAGATGCAATAAACTTCACTAAACTTTTTAAAATGGTTGAAAACTGAGTAAAGAATTCTTGAATATAATGAGAGTACTTTAATTTTTAGTAATATGATTGCTTTTATAATATTATTTTCTATTGACTTATGTTCCATCACTTGGCAAAAGTTCTTCAAGTTTTGCAAAATGGGCTGCAATCTCTCATAGAGTTTTGTTCACTTTCAAACATCAGTGTATCACAAAAGCATTCACTGCATACAAACTTGATTGAGTGTTTGCCTTCATTATGCCACGATTGCAAGCTTTAGAGCTGCGTAGAGCGTGCATTCACCAGATGAAACTGCTAAATAAACAATAGTCAGGAAATACATACTGGCGGCCATTTTTATTAATGGTTTGACTAATATGACATCATAACTTAACCCCACCTTGCAATTAATTTTTTCCGCTAGTTTTATAATATACGGAAGTATCCAGAAATAACACAAGATCAAAGATGGCATATAAAGTATGAAAAGTTATGCAGGAATTTTCTTAAATATTAAAAGTTCAATGATCTATAACTTCTAAACAGTGCGTGGTAAAAATTTAAAAAAAGCACAGGTTGTACAACTTTTTTTCTGCTATAACATGGCATCAATTAAAAAAAAATTAAAATTTCATCCAAAAGTACCTTAAAGGCCTTAAGCTACTATTTTCATTTGCAGCCATCTTACTGCAGCAAAAGAAGTAGCCACTTCATGAATAAACACAGTACTCATTGTCTGATGACAAAATTTGCATCATAGTCTCTCTGTGAATTGCTAATTAAATTAAACAATTGTGACCATAATTGACAAAAGGTACCTTATGGCGGGTAGGGAAATTTGTCTTTCAAGCCTAAGAAATCCAACTTCCTGAGCCCCATTTATCATAAAATTACTCCACAGGATGCAAAAAGTTACCATGAAACTTTTAGAAACAATGATTGTCTAACAAAGCACTCACAGGTTGATATTTTCCATTATAACGATCAATTTTAAAATCCGCCATAAGGGCCCTTTTGTCAATTATGGTCACAATTTTAAATGAAATGCCACGAAGGAAACAAAGGAAAAGATTTGATGCTCTTCACAAGGTTAGGTGGACTGCCAGGACCGGATTTTCAACAGCTGCGACATTTATTTCCTCTACTACTGTGACGGAAAATGATGACAGAAACTTTGTTGAATCTGAAGTGACAGCTACACCAAAAAGGGAGAATCAAAAAAATTCAGATGGAACAATGGAGGTCACTCCAGTGTATTTTCAAAATGATCCTGATTTCAGCTTGGATACTCCTAAAGGACGCAACTCTGGTGAACTACATAATGGTAATTCAATCTTCTTGGGTCAAGTAAGCCAAATGTGTAAATTTGTTGATCAGATTAATTTAACATCTAAATGTGCCTCACCATTATGTAATGGTAAGCTAAAACTTGTTTGTGCTAGTATGATTGGTCAACAAGGTTGTGTTACTTTACAATATGATTGTACTGGTTGTGCTGAGAGACGTGTTGCTTTTGAGAGCTCAATTAGGCATGAGACTGAAAACTGTACAGCAGTTGGTCTTGCCCTGCAAATTGCATTTATATGTTCTGGCGCAATGTATTCACAATACGCTATAGTACTTAAAAATGGTCTTGGCATGTACTGCGCAGGAAAATCAATATTATTACAGGACACTGGCTTTAATGTACCCACATGTTAAGAGTATACTAAATGATGTGTGAGCAAGCAAAAGAATCAATGAAGCAGAAGAATGATAGCGAGCTTGGATCTTTTGAAAATGCTGTGACATGTGGTGATGCTGCATGGTTGACACGTGGTTATTATAGTCAAAATGCTACATATACTCTACGAAACTATCAAACTGGGGGGCTTTTGTACTATAAGCATTTTAGTCAAAGAGGTAACGATAATATAACAGGAGAAGAATTGTTTGAAGGTGCATCAAAATCTGCAGAGGGATTTGGTGCTGAGTGGGTTTTTAAAAAAGCTATAACTGATAAAATAAACATTAGCATTCATGTGCAAGATAATGACAGTACTTCTTCAAAAGCTTTGCTTTCTAATTTTCCTAATTGTAGAATAATTTTGTGTTGTGGTCACATTGCACGAAATCCTGAAAAGCATTTAAAAAGGCTTGGTAAGCAAAAAAATTTTTTTTAAGAGCCAAATTAAAAAGTTTGAAAAAACTCATCCTGATATTGCTACAGTAAAGTGTCACTGCATGAAGGATGACATTGGTTGTTTTACTAATAGTTTCATTAAGTCAGCTAGGATAAACTTTTCTGCTATAGTTAAGTCTGTTGGTTGTGATCAACAAGCATTTATAGATCGACTTCGCTCACTAGCTAAGTACCATGCCAAAAATGTGCATGAATGGGATGGTGGGAAATGTTTCTTTCATGATTTAACTGTATGTGATTGTGGAAAATGTAAGAAAAGTGACATTACATGTCAAGTTAAGCAATATAAAACTAAGAATGTTTTAAGTTGCCCATTCCATAGTCTTGCATATGAAATTGCATGTGAAACTGTTATTGCCAAATCAAAACAAATTATTCATGAGGAGTTAGGTTGTTGCCACACTAGTGTAATTGAATCATCTCATAATGTATTGCTGCAGTTCAGAACAAAAAATTCAAATCTTCAGATGCTTCACTATTATGTTTCCACTTCACTTGGGCTTATACAAAGTAACATGTCCTGGATGTATGTGCACAAAGGGCCAGCTTACCATTGGCTACTTGATCTTTTTGACAGAATGAGTTTACCCAAATTTGATGGTATGGCTGAAGCATTTAAAGCATTAAATGATTCTAGGTTTAAATCTCTTTCAAGAGCCAAACAGTGTGATGTGAAGCGAAAGAGAAGAAACGCAAGGAAAAGGCATAGGCAACCTGAACAAGCTGCACGTAAATTATGGGTTGAGCAGCATAAAGCATGTCACACATATGGTAAGGAAACACCCAAATCATCTCATAAAAGAAAAGCAATACGAGATGGGGAGATTAGTAATACGAAAAGATGTAAATTAAGTATAACTGATTTTCATCAAGATTTAGGCTCGGAGTGTAGCTCATTAGCTGTGCATAAAAGCATAACAGATGACAAATTAATTGATCAGGGATTAATATTAAATGATAGTAATGATGATGATAAAAGCTTTCTTTCTAGTTCTGATGGTAATAATAGTAGCATCCTCAATAGCTCTGGTATTGATAGTGATTTAGAAGAGTTTATAATCAGTAGTGTTACATGTACTTGCAGTATTGAAAAATCTTCACACGAACGATGATGCCCACTGAATCCTAGAAACCGAGGTAAGTCTCCTGATGTGGAGTTTATTAAATCTAAAGATGCAATGCCTCTAGCAATAGGCAAACACCTTCCTCAGACTGGATGAATTCTGCTGCTTTATTGATACAGGATTATACTAGGGAGACTGTCAGTGTAGATACTGATCCAATTAAAACTATCAAACTTGCTGAAATATCTCCTTATATCTGTCATAAAATAAAAGGAGATGGCAACTGTTTTTACAGAGCAATTTCTAAAGCTGTAACTGGAACTGAAAAGAATCATATGCTCATTAGGTCAACTATTTGTACATTTATGATAAAAAATGCATTACAATTATCAAATTTAGTATTACCAAACATGCATAGTGAAAATGCTGTCAGTGCAATGAGGGCACATATATTACATAAAAAATTAAACAAATTTGGTACTTGGGCTTCTGACAATGACATTTTTATTGCTGCAACTGTATTTCAATTAAAAAATTTATGTTTCAGTACTGTCAACTCAAAAAAAATGTTCTTGACATATTTTTAAATCTCTTTCACAATAAAAATTGTCACTATATATCTGACTTTAACTTATATTTATTTCATACAAATGCAAGAAATCTTTATGATCTGGTAGACTTCAACCTTACTTGATATTTGATTAACCTTTTATATTTAATTTCTGTACAATTATCAAGAAATTTATAGATACATTATCTTGCTATAAGATAAAGATCAGCTTCAAAGGTAATATCTATTTAATAAAGTTTTAATGTTTCATTTTTTTCAAGGTTGGGCAGCAATGCAGTACTACCTCCACATGGTGCTGCCTGGGGTCTCTAGCAATGCTGTTAGAGATGCTAAATGTACTGCGTTAAAATTTAATCACACTTTCTTTGAAGTATGAATACTATTAAATGTAGACTTGGAAACCCTTGAAGATCAATCACAATCACCCACACAAGTATCATGCCCCTTGGTCAACGTACAGAAATTGGTGTTAAAATGAAACAGCCACAATAATATTTAATGGCAAAATAATGAATAATCAATTGTTGAGTGTAAACACGTCATAACAGGTTTGACAAAGGTATATCAAATTGTCAGCATCAAGCAAGTTGTAAAACTTGGATATTACAATCTCAAGACTTTCATTCATCCTGTCCCATGTTCCATGACAAAATAGAAACTAAAATTGAATAGAAATTAAAATTATAATAATACCCATTACATTATACCTGTTTTCCTTCAATCAGTATTCCCAATATATGTTGGGAATCTTTATACGATGTTTTAATGAGGTTGCCCTTCACATAAAACAGTAACTGCCCCACATCACTCTCAAATGCAACATGACTAGGTACCTCCTTCATAAATTTATCCTAAAATATAACAGGAAGTTAAACCAGCTGATAATCATTATACCTCGACTATTACTATAGGTGAATCACCACAGCTCATTAATGCAACATCAGGTATTCCCTAATGATGACAATAAATCTATCAAAAAGCAACATAACAAAAGAACTCACTAGAAGAAAAGCAGTATCAAATGTGGCCGGTGCTTGCTCTACAAGTGTGTACGCTTGAATTTCTGTATCTGGTGATGATCCACTAGACTCTTCCACTTCGTGATCACTTGTACTATTGACTGCACTTGAAGACTCTTCTTTATAGTCTACCAGTGGTCGATGCCTACATTTGGATGGGGGTGACCTGCTACTTGTTGGGCTATCAAACGACGTGTCACTTGTAACTGGAGCCATATACCCCTCAATCTCCACTTGTAGCTGCAGCCCCCCTACCTCATCAACAACTTTTGGAGTCAATCTTAATTGTGAAATATAAGTAATCTATTATTTCATTACTATCTAGAAAGCTACAAACAGCATAGGCATATCTAGCCTTCTCCAGCTACTAGGGCACTTAATTAATTATTCATATATTTAATCAATTATTTATACCTTTAACTATTGATTCTGGACAATTTGGGCAAATGCATTTAAAATTTAAGAGATACATGCATAACTGCCCTGGTGCTTAAATAAACACTTGTAATATGTAGGTGTGTGCTAAATTATTGTGGTTAACAGTGTTAACTGTTGTGGTTAACAGTCCTCCCACTGTTACAATACTGTGTATAATACAATAACTAATTAATATAATTATGGCTGCAAATTTCTGCCCACCCGTGCTTGCCCAGGTCCAAATACGCCTATGACAAACAGTAGAAACACTGAAATGGTATAGATGAGTAGACCAGCTTGATGTTGCATGAATGGTATGCACACATAATTATTTGAAACTAACTATTCATTATAATAATATACTGCTATTTACTGACACTTTGCAATTCGTGCAATGGCCATTACAAAACCAGTACGTTTTCATTAGTCCTAAAAGAACTGTAGTAAATTCTTTGGAAGAGGAATTATCTGTTTTTTCAATAACTAACTGCCTCATCGCTGTTGCTAAGTGTTTGATCTGTACAGGCTACAAAATTGTAATCATTAAACAAAAGGCATTTTCAACGTACAATAGTAAACGGAGGATCACTGTGCAAAAGATCTTTCCATTGTACACTCTGTAGCAACCCAAAAAAATTAGTTCTGCTCCTAGCCTGATCACACCTAAATAAAAAAGGCACAATTGTTCATAAATACAAGGAAAAAAATTGCTTTTAAAAGCATTCGGCAAAATTGTACAACTGCACAAATATACACTAGGAAAGTATTTCCCTAGATTGTTTTCACTACTTCAAATACATATAGCTGGCAGCCATTGTACTTGGTGCGGCAACACCCACTTTATGTAAAGGGATGGGCAGGGTGTTTCTAAGGTGCCCTGTGCTAATAACTCTGTCAATCAACACTACATTACCTTGAACACGATGACTGTCTCCTGACTGGAATGCTGTCTACTACTGTCACCTTCACTTTGATTTTATTATTAGCGTAATGAAATACTGTTTGATCAATGAAGGCTTGAAAACTTGGCAGTGACTTATAGTTGGTTGCAGTAAGGTTCAATGGTGGTGAATCTAAACTTTAAAGAAAAACTAGTACATTTTGACTCTACTACATGCCAAATTTGAGTTTCTTTGAAACATTTTTCCAAGATCTACTTCTCTTTATCGCGATAACTCTAAAAAATATGTTATGCGAGTGACAACAACATAGCTGGCATACTTTCTTTCTGACATTGTAATTCGGCAATACCGTGACTAGCCATGTTGAACAAGGAGAGGTAGAGGAGGGGAGAAGAGCTAGGGCAAAAAGAAAGGAAAAAACAAAAAGTAAAACGGCCGACTGAAAAAAAAACAATAAAGGCCTGAATTGACCAGGTCTAGGCAGCCTAGTTACAAGGCTTACATATGAAGACAAGCTCGAGAAGACAAGATCCACCAAGATAAACTCTCGGATAAACTGAACAACTACTGAACCACTGAACCAGAACTACTAAGTCTCACGTGACTTCCATTATGTCACGTGTATCCAATCGTGGCAATTATGATTGTTATTGCTTCGGAAACACAATTTTGAAAAATTATTGTTATGCAAAACTGAAATGTTTTTTTTAATCTAAGACATACAAAATGCATAAATATTTATTCTTGTTTTACTAAAAATAAAACAAAATAATCATAGAACCCCAGTACCGCACCGTTAACAATAGCAGTCACTAGTGTGGAAAGTGAACGTTCCTTCTCAGCTCTAAAACGCATTAAGACCTGTCTAAGAAGTAGGATGGCAGAAGACCGTTTTTCAGCTTTAGCAACTTTGTCATTAGAGAGGGAGATAGCAGAGAGTTTAGATTACGAACTGATAATAAATGAGTTTGGCTGTGCTGACAAGAATAGGCGTATTGTTTTGTCTTGACTAAGTTGACTAATTATCTGTTATTACTTGTTACTTAATTGACCACACCTTAAAACTAATTAATTAAATTTTTTGACCACACCTCATTATTTTTGCCCACCCAGTATCTAAACTCTAGATTTGCCCCTGGATGTCATCTTTACTTATGAAGACCCTCTCAATCTAGCTAATGTATAGAGAAGACAAAGGGATTATGTTTATTACCATGCTAATGAAGAAGTTCAAAGCAGGTGGTGTGAGATATTGAACCTTAAGTTTGTAACATCTGCTAGAATCTTACCTGGCAGTCCGACAAGACCATTGTCTGATGAAAGAGTTCCTAATAGTACTCTTGATGTCCCTGGTTATGGGAAGTGTTTATTTTATGCCCTTTTATATCTCATTACTGGGTCAATTTCTCAGCATTATGAATAACGTAAAGCTATTGTTAGTAATATGCCAAACTTTGAAGAAGAATTGTTTAATAGTACATTAAGTGCAACCAGATATTCAAGCATATATGATTACATAAATAAGTCAAAAATGTATAGAAATTATGTGTGGGCCACTGACACAGAGATTATTACACTAATAGCATTATTAGGTATACCATATATTCATATTCACTCACTCCTACTTTTGTTGGCTGGGCTAGATATGGAACCCAGGAGTTGTATGGCATTCCTTGAGATACTACTACACCTGCTTTGTATTTGAAGCATGTTGGTACTAATCATTTCCAAGCAGTTAAGTGCAGGGGCGTAGCTGGACCTTGGGAGACGGTAAGGCAAGGAGACAAAATGGCACGCGAAGCGCGCCGTGATTATGGCCACACCCCTTTTGCATAACAAAATGGAGGCATTTTCCTGCAAGCTGAGCGAAATCAGAGTGAAATTATCATTGTATATAGCTTCTTAAAGAGCTGTGGTTATCAGCCACCCATTTCTTATTGTAAGAACAATGACTATAATCTTTTGGGTTATAATTTCAATGAATATAATTATAAGGCCACTTTGATGGTAGGGCCCAGGCCCCTCATGCCCTACCTCAGCTACGCCACTGGTTAAGTCTATTAATATTTCTTAAAGCATTGATTGTTGATGGAAAGTGGGTATGGTGAATGGGAGGTCCTTCATCTTTAAAACATTGGTTGTTTAATGTGACTTTTATTTCACTGCATGTGTAATGTGAGTGTGTGTGAAAACCAGGTGCATGTCCACCCATTATTGCTCAGTATGAAGTGATCAAACTGCATTCAGGATGTGGGATTAATCAATGTATAACAGTGAATATTGATTACTTGTTGCTATTATGGACAGGGCGAGGGTGTGAAAGAGGTTTACTATTCATTAGAGTTCTAATTTTGTGTGACTATCATTTATGTAGGACAGAGGGTTAGGAAGGGAGGAAGCTGTCATTATCAATTCCCGATCTTGTTTGTGGCTTGTACTACATGTTTATAACAAATATCAGGTGCTTATGGATCAAAGGCGCTGCTGACAAATTTTGAAGGACCAGAAAAAATTAAGAGTAACAATAAAAGTTCTCATTATACATGTAGTATCATTCAAACCGTGATTTGGTACATATATTAATGATCATCATACATGTCAATGCTGCCATCAATGCTGTGCGCATTACATATATGTAAATGCTTGCCAGCTGATGTTGCGCATAATGCTGCCATCAATGCTGTGCGCATTATTAAGTTAATGCTTGCTGGCTGATGTTGCGCATTTGAATGATGCTGCCATCAATGCTGTGCACATATTAAATGCTTGCCAGCTGATGTTGCGCATCTTTTGTTGATGATTGTTGTAAATATGTGCATGTTCACATTAACAAAAAATATTGTTTGCATGTTGGAAATTCTTCATGTGCACAATGTTATTTTATATTATGGAGGTCATGAAAGTATCTTAAATGAGGGATATCATTAGTAAGCAATATTATGTCTAAAATACATGCCATATATGATCCAATCAAAAACATTGTAGATGCTACCATTATCATTATTAGTTAGTATGTCACATACATACTTTTTATAGGTACTTATGTACTTAGCACTAGGACTACAATGTGTTGTTAAAGAGAGGTTTGATGTGATTGGTAAGTGCTATTGTTATTATTAGCCTGTGAGTTTACATTGCTTGCTTTTGATGTTTCTATTACAATGCTTTACAGGTGGAAATGATTTGCTGATTCAGCAATACTTTTGCTTGATATTGGAATGTGGAATATAATTAAAGGCAATTCTGGATTTAGATTGTAAAAACTAAATTAATTTCTTAATGTTTTGTTGCAGCTCCTTGATCAGTAGTTGTATCATGCAGTAGTAGGTGCCAGTTTACATCTGTATAGGTTTCATATTATTGTAGTCTTAGCAATGGAATATGTAGTAAGACAGAGAGTATTGCAAAATGTCTTATGTATTTTTGTTAAAGGTTATGATTCTAGGTTACATACTGTATATTAGCTTGATGATTACATCATTAATAATGGCCACAGTAAGTACTTTCTTTAGTCAATACAAATGAATGCTTGCCAATGCATCTTTTATTGTGTGCCATTAACCATACAAAAATAATTGTTTGCACATTGAATGTATTCATGTGGTCTATTAATGTGTATTTCCACAATGCAGGTCTTGTAAACTGCGGAAAAGTTTGAGAGCTGTGAGCGGGAAAGTGGCAACTGAAGCTGAATGTAAACTTAAATAGTTTCAGAACCGGACATAGATCTTAGTAATGACAACTAATGATTAATAGTTATGAGTTAGGCTATGAATATAATTAATGATTCAAAAATTTAAAAACTGTTTTTATAATGCGGTAGGTCTTCTTATGGTTCTTATTTCAAAATTCTTTTCTTCCATTAATGAACTGATACCTAAGGCAAAAATTATTATTATCAATAAGGATTATTAATTAATAATTACTTAGTCAAGCAATGAAAAAATTTCTATAAATAAGAAAAAGTAGGGTTGTCAAAAAATAAAAGAAACAATGGGGTTGAGTTCAACCATAATAATAATTAATAGTTCGATTAATAATAATAAACTTTAATTAATAAAAAATAATTTATTCATGAAAATAATACAAAAATTTCAAACCCTACTTTGCAGAAAATGGTAACAGGCAGACTACAATGTAAATAGAATTTTAATAATAATTATGCCTCTGTACCTATTGATTGCTCTACTACAATACTATGATGTAAATTAATTATTGTGATAAATATAAATAAGACTTTTCAGCTAGTAGTGATTGAATAATGTGTCATCGCATTAAAAAAATCTAAATTATAAATAGGCTAAAGCATTCTTTGAATTTTGGGATTCAGTACAATATTGAAAATTTAAAATATTAATATATATACATGTTAGAAATTGTAATTACATGGACTCGCCACGTTATCATTTTCTGCAAAGTAGGGTTTGAAATTTTTGTATTATTTTCATGAATAAATAAATTTTTATTAAATAAAGTTTATTATTATTTAACTCAACCCCCTTGTTTCTTTTAATTTTTGAAAACCCTACTCTTTCGTATTTATAGAAATTTTTTTTATTTACTTGTTAAGTTTAAGAACATCTCCTCCCTTCCAAAAAACTCAACCATTTCTTACAACCAGCCCTAAACCACCAAACACCAAATTTTATGGACTCCCTAAAATCCACAAACTACAAAATGAACTAGGACTGCCACCAATTAGACCAATTGTAGCCCATACTATCTCTCTGCTCTCCAAGTCAGCCAAGTTTCTGGACCATGTACTGCAGCCTGTAGCACAAGCATATGAAGACTTTCTTAACAACTCAACACGATTAATATCCATCGTAGAAAATGAAAGATTTCCCGAAAACATAACTTTAGTCACAATGGATGTGAAAAGCTTATACCCGTTGAGTCCACAACAAGAATGTTTAACAACAATTCATGAGGAAATGTTCAACCACAGTAATCTCCTCATCTTCGATCCTAATCTCATCACCCACTTACTAACAATAAACATGAATAATTAATTTTTCCGAATTCTCATAGGCAATATTTTTAAAAGTAGAAGGCACGGCTATGAGAGTCTCCATACAATTGCAAACATATTCATGTCAGTGCTGTTAGAACTGTTTCTCTTCACCACCACCAACAAATCTCTGCTCCTTAAAAAATACATTGATGATATTTTCATGGTATGGCCAAAGTGCTTGGACTTCGAATCCTTCCTCTCATTTCTGAACAAATACCACCCAAATATTGAGTTCACATCAACCAGTGCCAATTTATCAGTATATTTTCTGGACATCACAGTATACAAGAACGACAACTTTAATATTACAAGAAAACTAAGCAATACCACTATCAGAAAGAAGCAAACCTATACCAGTATTTACATTTCAACTTCAACCACCCACAGTCAACATTTAAAGGACTAATAATAGTCAAGGCAGTTAGATACGTGCATACCAACTCTACCAAGGCTAAATACAAAGAGAACATAAGTAAATTTAGTGAAAGACTACAGAAACGAAAGTACCCACTCAACTTTATAAAGTCAGCTTTACAGAAAGTGAGCTACAATAAAAGAGCTGTATACATTAAAGGCCACACCAATTGAATACCTCAGCAAATGTGACGACCAATTTTCAATCGCAGACCACCACAAAATTCCATCTATTAAGAGAAATAATTTAAAGCATACAATCTCAAGCAATACTTTGATCCACCACTTTTTATATCCCTAAGGAACCACACTATTAAAGACTTTGTTGTAAAAAGTCGCCACAGAGCAACAGGCACAGACATTGAAAAAATCGCAAATTAAAACGTAACAACTGTCCGTCATAAGGTAACAACACCCTACTCCATTAATAAAAACCACAGAAATGCAATAAACCAAGGTGTACAACATGCCAACATTTCATGCCTAATGACTCTTTTCAGAGCACAGTCACAAAGCAATCTTTTTACATCCATAACTTATTTCAATGCAATAGCAGTAACATAATATACCTGATTACATGTTCTAAATGTAAGAAGCAGTAAGTAGGTCAAAAATCTAAGACACTGAGGGACCTCATCAATCAACACCGATCCAGCATAAAAACAAAGCAGTCAAGATATATCAGCAAGCATTTTAACCTGAAAGAGCACAGCATGGACAATCTCAAAGTCCAAATCACAGACACCTCATCATACAACAACCTGGAAAATTCAGAGAGGTTTTGGATCAACAAACTGAACACATTGCAACCACGGGTCTTAATATAAACTAGCAGGGAGACAAATGTTACAAAATAAATAATATACAGTACTGTTTAAAGTACTTTTGGATAAAATTTTAATATTTTTTTAATTGCTGCCATTTTATAGTAAAGAAAAAGTTGTACAACTTGTGCTATTTTTAAATTTTTACCTGGCACTGTTTAGAAGTTACAGATCATTTAACTTTAAATATTAAAAAAATTCCTGCATAACTTTTCATACTTTATACGCCATCTTTGATCTTGTGTCATTTCTGGATACCTCTGTATATGATAAAACTGGCGGGAAAAGTTAAGTGCAAGGTGGGGTTAAGTTATGACGTCATATTAGTCAAATCATTAATAAAAATGGCCATCAGTATGTATTTCCTGACTATTGTTTATTTAGCTGTTTCATCTGGTGAATGCAGGCTCTACGAAGCTCTAAAGCTTGCAATCGTGGCATAATGAAGGCAAACACTCAATCAAGTTTGTAGGCAGTAAATGCTTTTGTGATACACTGATGTTTGAAAGTCAACAAAACTTTGAGAGACTGCAGCCCACTTTGCAAAACTTGAAAAACTTTTGCCAAATGATGCAACACACATCAATAGAAAAGAATATTATAAACACAATGATATTACTAAAAATTAAAGTACTCTCATCATGTTCAAGAATTTTTTAATCAATTTTTATCCATTTTACAAAGTTTAGTAAAGTTTATTGCATCTCACTATTGAGAAGAAAATTTAAAAAATTATAATATATATATTGTAGAAAAAGTATAAAGAAAACAATTTGTGTCTCGAAATCTAAATTGTGCGTTCAGCCCGTTGTACCTTAAATAGTAATATAATGTGATGGTCTGGGTAAAACAGATGGGGTCTCCACAGGGGTGGGACCCCATCTGTCCCTGCCCCATTGGGGTTTCTCTCTCTCTCCCTCTTCCTTTCATTCAGCACAACACATCTCTAACAGCTAAAGTACATGCACTTGACTTGAGTCCTTTAGACTCCCCACTTAATGTAAATGGCAATATAATTAATGTAGTATCAAACCAGACCACACCCTAATTAATAGTTGACGCATAAAAATTAAAGCACATGGTGCTAATTTTGTCTCAAGCAAGCTGATAGAGCTATGATTACATAATGGAGAGTACCTCACATACACCTTGGTCTTACTATGTTTACTGCGACACAAAGTCTTTGCTCAAGTTTCTGTTAAGTGTATGAATACACATTGTGCGTACACTAATTCTAGCTACCCACAACTCTTGTACAATAAATAAAGGTACATGTAAGGCACATCTCCTGCCAACACACATTATAGCACAAAGTTTTAACCCCCAAAACCAAGTCCCCTATGAATCAACATTCATACCTTTAAAAGGACAGTGGTGGTGTGGAGGGCAGGCAGAGAGGTGAACGTTGGATCCATAAATGTAATTTAAATCCCAGTTCTGGTTCTTAAGGCCAGACTGCATGCCACCTGTCTGCCATGGCAGCCCTGAACCACAATTTGAATGTACGTAAGTCCCTCCACAAACTACACCCAATTAGTAATTAAACCTAAAGCTTGCATGCATATTTATCAATTCCTTTAAACACACACATATTACTGTCGCACGGTATGACAACAATTGGTGTCTCTGAGTCGTGAACAGGGGTCAACGGGCAAAATGCAAGGAAGATAGCCTGGAAACAAGTCTAGCCGGGTAGACAGACTAGGAGAATCAACCAACTGTGGCCAACACTGACGTCTGACTATCAACATGAGTTGGGCGCAGTGTTCTCATTTTTGTCATACTATTTATAATATTTTTAATATCTCAATTCCCAAGAAACGGTGGTAGGAAGAGGTGTGAAGTCACCTTCAGCGAACATCGGCTTCAACCCTAGTGAAAGCAGGCTCTGTCAATGTCTAAGAGGTAGTGTCCTTGGCCCATGTCCTAGGGAGCAATGAGCTGTTGAAGGGCCAACAAGCCTATTGTTTTAGCACTACCTATGTGGGTCAAGAAGTCCTTCAACCAGGCCTTTTCATTGCACGGATGACACTATTATTTAATGTAAATGTATCCTCAGCCTAATGGACACTTCTTCCATGGCACTCAGTGCATTCACCAAAAAAGTCATACCAACACTGACAGTAGTACAGCCTTAACATAATAACATTTATCTATTGTCTACCATATCATACAGAACAAATTAAAGAAATTTAGACACACACGCCGGTACAAACTAAACATTAGAAGTGGTATTTATTAAAGAAACCTGGTACTTAATAGTAAATCAAAAGCTAATAAATGCATGTACATGTAGCTCATACAATACAAAAATGGCCTTACACATTCCACAATGTAGCACATGTAAAATCAGAAATTTTTGAATTAAAATATGGAAAAATACATGTACATAATACATATGTGTGAAAAAAGTGAAGAAACAAAATAGTCATTTAGTTATGCACTTGTGCTTATCTTTATCAATGGACAAAAGGGCAATACTAAGAGAGAGCATAAGGAACTTAAAAAAAATCATATATGAACGGAAA